TCCTTCCTTCCTTCCTTCCTTCCTTCCTTCCTTCCTTCCTTCCTTCCGTCCTTCCGTCCTTCCGTCCTTCCGTCCTTCCGTCCTTCCATCCTTCCGTCCTTCCTTCCTGGAGTTTTGTTCTTGTTGCCCAGGCTGGAGTGCAATGGCGTGATCTTGGCCCACTGCAACCTCTGCCTCCCAAGTTCAAGCAATTCTCCTGCCCTAGCCTCCTGAGTAGCTAGGATTACAGACATGCGCCACCACGCATGCTAATTTTGTATTTTTTTTTTTTAGTAGAGAGAAGTTTTCTCCATGTTGGTCAGGCTGGTCTCAAACTCCCGACCTCAGGTGATCTCCCCGCTGTGGCCTCCCAAAGTGCTAGGATTACAGGTGTGAGCCACTGCTCCTGGCCTGTTCATTTTTCTTTTTTGAGACAGAGTCTCACTTTGTCACCCAGGCTGAAGTGCACACTCTCGGCTCACTGCAATCTCTGCCTCCTGGGTTCAAGCAATTCTTGTGCCTCAGCCTCGAGTAGCTGGGATTACAGGCGCATGCCACCTTGCCCAACTAATTTTTTGTATTTCTAGTAGACATGGGGTTTCGCCATGTTGCCCAGGCTGGTCTTGAACTGCTGAGCTCAGATAGTCTGCCCGCCTTGGCCTCCCAAACTGTTAGGACTATAGGCGTCAGCCACCGCACCCAGCCATTTTTGTTCATTTTCTGCTTGGCATTTTATATACTCAGAATCTTTCCATCTGCTTCTAGTGCTTTGGTACCCAAATGTGGGCTTTGACTGCCTGCCTAGCTGTCTGGCTTATTCTTGCCAATTTTGTTTTCTGAGTCCTGCGTTCTTCTCCCATTCTTGCTGACTTGTTTTTAATGTACTTTTCTGGTATGACCCTGCTCTGTTTGGTGTTCTCATTGATTGTTCATGAAAACAAACTCATCCATTCATTTATGGAGTGGCTTTTGAGCACCTGTTCTATCCTAGGTGCTGTGGGAGCCACCAGAGTTACAATGACAAATCCAACCAAACATTCCTTGTCTCCCTGAGCTAGAGAAACAAGTTAGGTATTAATCACACAAACTGGGATAACTGCTGTGAAGGAAAGACACAGATGCAGCTGACCTAGGAACACTGGAATTGAAATCTGTCACCTCATCTCACTTACCTAGCAGTAGCTCCCCTTCATTTTGAACTTTTGCCTGAATCAGGATTGACGTATAGTGCCCCATTTTCAGTTCCGGCTCTTGTTTTTGGGTTGTTGGCAGTTTGCTCCGGACCTCTTGCCCCAACCAAGGCCGCCATCGTTTGTATTCTTAGTAACTAGTGGGAGCATACCCTGATCATGGATCTGTCCTCATTTGGGAGCTCTTTTCTCTTTGTTTTCTTAATGCCTGCCTCTGTTGGTTCTTTTCCTACGTCTTCGTTAGCTTCTTTATTTTATTTTCTACTTCTTTACATTTCCTAAAAGTTGCCCTAACCCAGATTTTGTCAGGGTAAGAGTGCCCAGAACTTCTATAGGGTTAATAGGCCTTCAAAATGATGTCACGGAGAAGGGAATGTTGCTTGTTCATTCCTTATCCTGTGCCCTCCTCTGTCTCTGCGTACCCTTTCTTGGCAATCTCATCTATTCTTGAACTTTCTGTGTTACCATCTTTATGCAAATGACTGGCCGATTTCTCTCTTTTGCTCCGTTTTCAAGTATTTGGTGGATCGCTCCATGTGGAGGTATATAATACTGCAAGTAGAATTCATCATCTTCTCTAATTTTACCAACTCCCAGTCTCCTACCTAGAAATCTCACACAGCCACTCCCACCTTGCTTACTTCCAGACCTGCCTGGTTGCTAGGTGGTGCTGCTTTGTCCTGTGTAATACCATGGTAAGGGCCTCTTCTTTTCAGTGTCCTGAACTCAAGTTTGGGTCTTCCTTTCCTTTCACCTGTCTGTTCTGATTTTCTCCTAAGATACATCTGCTACTAGTATCTGTCAGCTCCAGATGACTCTGAGTCCTGTACCAGGTTTCCTGAAACAATTCTAATATGTTGTTTTTCTCTTCTGCTCATTCATGCTTTGAAAACTCCCTAGTGCTTTTGAAAAACTGGCCTAGTTTTTTAGGCCTTCCAACTTGTTTTAATGTCCTTGCCACTGCCTCCCTTCATATAGGCTGGACTCTATCCAAATGGAATTAATTTTGTGAGAACTTGCCTGTATTTTCTGTTTGTGCCTCTATTTTTATTTCCTTTTGCCAACAGTATGCTTTCCTCACACTCTTAGTTCTTTAAAATCTTTCCTAAAGTACTCTCAGGTTTCCTGACTTGGAGACACTCTTTCTTTCCTATCATCTGTACATTTATCCAAACTTTAAAAAACACAGTGCTTACCCCTTATCCTTCATTCTGTCTAGTGTAGTGCCTTGAAGAAATATGTGTGAAATTACTGAGTGCATAAATGCATTTCTGTATTAAACCCCCAGTCTTGACTCCTCCATCTGCCTTTCCCATTCCCTTGCTGTTTATATAAGGCCATCTCTTTCTATCCCTTCTTGCAACGGGATTGGCTTTATCTGTGAATCTCTTTATCTTGCCCTAAGTGGCCTGTTATCCTTTGCCTCCATTGCTTTTCTGCTGCTGAGTTAGTATTATTTCAATTTAAAGAGAAATTACATCATTTTGGTGAAGGATGTGTGTGGGAAATATAGAGGAAATAGAAGCTAGTGTTCAGAATGACATCTTGATTCGTTTTGTGGGAACTCAGGCTGCCCACAAAAATTTCAAATATAGACTTGACTCCTGGGCTAGTGGCCATCAGAGACTAGAAAGTAGAAGTTGTGATGACATGTTCAGCATCCAGGTGGAAGGCTAGGGGCCAGCTGCGGGGCCCCACATTCCAGCCTGCTGATCCTGGCAGCTGCTCTTATATTCCTTAGACACAGCTGTTTGAGCTTCTCATCAGACAACTAGTTTGAGGTGATGGCAGGTAAGAGTAGGGGAAGAGACGTCTAATTACAGTATTGCCATGTTTTGAAAGTGTGTGAATCATCTGGGGTTCCCTGCCTAGTTTTGGACATCAAGTTGTGGTAATGAATTAGGTTTTGCTGGTGGATTCTAAGGAATTAACTTGGTTTCATAGAGGTATATCATTTGTCCAGAGTTGGACTTAGTAAATGCCACATATTGAACCCCAGTTTAGTACCATTCCATTACAACTTTTAGATTCTAGATCTTTATATCACTTTTCAAAACTATATTTCTTTACATTTTTGTTCATTTCACAAGCTGAATAGAACTGCAGGATTCCTTATTTTTCACATCATTGCCCCATTTGTGGAGATGTTTAGTTGAAGTGGCCCAAAGAAGCAGTCTAGTGGTACTTGTGAGGGTGAAGGCCTTGAAAACAAACTTGAGACAGATGGTGTGTTTGACTAACTGCCCTGGAGAATGTTATGCCAGAACCCAGGAGGGGCACCACGTTGCCTTTGCCATTGAAATACTAAATTTCTGAGAGGACAGAGGAGCCTACAACTTAATCGCTCTCCAATTACCAATCTCTTCTTGGTTTCAGTGAATGACAACAGAGCTGCTCAAGGCGGGAACTCTGAGCCGAGCAGTGGAGGTTTCTTTGGATCTGGAGAGAAGAGTGACCTTGGAGCCAATAATGAGCCATCCTGACTACAGAATGAACCTCCGGCCCCTGGGGACCCCCAGAGGTAGTAAAAGGAAAATGGAGTCTGTCTAAATAACTGGAGAACTGAAATAAAAGTGAAATGGGTGTGAAGTGGAGGGTGTCTTTTAGGACTAAGGGCTACTATAATTCTTTTAGTGACCTGTTAAGTATTCTCCTGTGTGATTTTTTCCTAGAATTAGATGTGGTTTCTTGCTATCTTAATTTATTGTTGTATTAAGTACAACTGTTTAATTTCCTCTAGTAAAGTGGCAATCTTTTAGTAATTTCTATTTGCAAAAAGTTTGTGTATATAAATAGCAAAGAACACTGGACTCATTATTCACATTATGTTCCATCCGTGTTGTTGTGCTGATTTAAAACTCAAGTCTCATCTGTGTATATTTTATTCATGTTTTCTTAGCCACTCTTTCCTTTTTGTTATTGTTCAAAATCACCATCAGGGAGTTTCAGTCTCTTGTTGATCTCTTTAAATAATAATTGTAAAAAGGTATGATATCTCCAGTTTTAAAAATACACAGATGTTTGAGGAAAGAGTTGATTGCTGCCTCATGTTTCTAGGTGTGTCCACTGTGGCTGGCCCACATGACATTGGTGCTTCGCCAGGTGACAAAAAGTCAAAGAACAAGTCCACACGAGGGAAGAAAAAGAGCATATTTGAAACTTACATGTTCAAGGAGGATGTTTCGGAAGGCTTGAAGAGAGGAACACTCATCCAGGTGCTTAAAATCTACTGGAAGGCTATTGCCTGAATATGTGGAATCCAAAACAATCTATTAAACTATTTCCTGTTCTGTGCTATGTGCTTTCAGAGAGGTGATGATGTAACAGGTGCAGGGCTGTTATGATGGCATAACAGAGATGATGAGGTAACAGGTTCTTCTTAGAACTACAGTACATTTAGAGGTAATAAGCACCATAAGACAGGAACAGGCAAAGTGCTCTGAGATTTGAGAGGAGGGAGCCGCTATTTCCCGTTAGGCTTGCCTAGAGATGCTTTATTGGAAGTGACATTTGAGCCAGGCCATGGATTGGTGCAATTTGAATAAGCGAAGATAAAAGAGAGCTTTACAAATGGAGGGACCAGTGTGGCCTACTACAATAGAAGTGAGAAATTCTATTTGTGAGAACTTGCCTGTATTTTCTGTTTGTGCCTCTATTTTTATTTCCTTTTGCCAACGAAACATTGAATATCAGTTTTTCTGGAGCATGTGGATGCTGAATGATGGAGAAAAATGGATGAGGTTGGAAAGGAAGCAGTAAACAACAATAGACAGTATTTGTTGAGTGCTTTATAGTTTACAAACTGTGTTTACAAGCTAGTTCAGTGGTTTGGCTGAACAAATGTTTATTGAGCATCCATTGTGAGCCAGGAACAGTTATGGTTAGGAATGTGCAGCATGGGTGCCTTTGAGATGGAGGTAGACAAGATTGCCTTGCTGTACTTCAGCTTGCAGCCCAGTGGTGAGAGGAAGTCATGTGAACAGATGATTTGGGGATAAAGTGGCAAGTGCTTAGATAAAAGGGTGACCAGGGTATATGGCAAAATATTGGGGGGAAAGCGGGAAACTGTGTAGGCTGAGGTTCTGGAGAGGCTCCCTGTAGTTGGTGACCCTTGTGGTAGGTATTGAGGGATGACTAGTTTGGGCCTATCAGGTGAGTGATATGTGTGTGGGAGGTATGGAGAGGCAGTGGCGCTAACAAAAATGTGAACTTGCGAAACAACATGGAGTATGGCAGCTTAGGCCTCCTTGGGCATAATCCATCAGGCAGTTAGTAGGCTGGGGAGGGAGGCAGGGCCACATATTCTGTGAATTAAGTCTATTTCATAATACTTTCATTAGTATAGAAATATTGCCATGTGCTACCTGACTCACTTGAAAATGCTGTGTTCCACTTTCTCTTATTCTGAGAGCACAGCTTCTGTATTTGTGTTTTTGGCTGAAGATCTAACCAATTTACGGATGCTATCATCTTCTCTTCCTTTTTGTCATTCATTTTCTCTCTCTCTCTCTTTCTTTCTCTCTTCTCTCTTTCTTTCTCCCCTCCCTCCCTCCCTCCCTCCCTCCCTCCCTCCCTCCCTCCCTCCCTCCCTTCCTTCCTTCCTTCCTTCCTTCCTTCCTTCCTTCCTTCCTTCCTTCTTTCCTTTACCTTTCTTTCTTTACCTTTCTTTACCTTTCTCTATCTGTGGTCAAGTGCACACATGATCGATGGAAAAAAGAAAAAAAATTGTCTTTTAACAAATGAGTTGGTTTATCTGATTCTTGGAGTACTCTTGGTGGTTATTTATTTATTTATTTATTTAGAAGGTCTCATTCTGTTGCCCAGGCTGGAGTGCAGTGGTGCAGTCTTGGCTCACTGCAGCCTCTGCGTCCTGGGTTCAAGTGATTCTTGTACCTCAGCCTCCCAAGTAGCTAGGATTACAGAAGGTAAAAAATTAGTCGTGCCATCATGCCTGGCTAATTTTTGTGTGTATATATATATATATTTTTTTTTAGCCAAACAGATTGGTCATTATTGTACATATAGCTGGAAGGGAGGGGTGGTCCTGGAGTGAGGACAGGGCTGCCCAATACTTGAGGGGAGGAAGGGGCTCTTCTTCCAAATGGGCTTGTCCAGGAACCGGGGTCCCGGGGAGCTGGGCGCCTGGTCCACATGGACCCCCTCCACCTCCCCACATACGCTGTGGAAGAAGGGTAGGAGTGAGAAATGCTGGAGGAGAAGGATCCTTTGGTCTGAGATGTGGAGGTGATCATAACAGTTCCCGCCCGCTGGCTGTTTTGTTGACTTTGGGGAGGCCTTTCCCGAACCCAGAGTCGGTCATTACTTGTTCCATCTGAACATCCTCCTCGTCCTCCTGGGGCAGCTGCAGGTATGGGTTGTCCCTGTGGGCTGGAACTTGTAGCTCGTGAGCATGAAGAAGGCCAGGGTGGAGCCCTCCACCAAGAGCTGGTACAGCCACTGCCACTGAAAGGGGACAGCCACCTGCTACAGGATGGCGATGATGCGGGTGAAGTAGATGTAGCAGATGACCGTGACATAGTAATGCTGGAACAGCTTCAGCTTGGCCAGGTTCACCGCCACCTTCCCATCTGTGCCAGACGTGTCCTGGAGATGCCAGATGGACCAGACTACGGGAAACAGGATGGCGCTGCAGCAGATGAGATCCATCAGGAACAAAATCTCCTTCCACAGCACATAGTCACTGGCGCCCTCCTCGCGGAACTCGATGCCGATGTAGGCCACGTTGGCCAGGACCTGCATGGGGATCACGATCCTAAAGACCTTCTTCTCCTTATCCGACAGGACGTACTTGATGAAGGCCCAACCTGAGCCGATCAGGGCGACGGTGATGAAGAGAAGGGCACCCTTCAGCAGGTGTGTGATGTAGTACATGATGGCAAGGCCTTCGATGGGGTGGCTCTGGCTGTTGATGAAGTAGTAGTTGATACTATGGAAGAGGAGAGAGATGCTCTTGGTGAAGGCCAAGGCCGCCATGAGCCAGTGGATCTTGAAGACGCTGTACATGTTCCTGCAGAGGATGGACACCCAGAAGATGCCGGCGGCCAGGAAGCAGACGGACATGACTATGTAGTGCTTGAAAAGGGGCATCTCCGCCGCCGACAGGAAGCCATCGGGGTTCTTCTCCTGGATCATCACCGTGATGTCAAATGGATGCTCCTTTCCTGGCACTGCATTGTTGCAGTTGTGGAAGTTCAGGCTGTACTGGCCTTTTTCCGCCTGAGAGCCGATCACCACGTAGAAACTGAAGTTGTAGGAGTTGTTGAGGTGGCTCAGGCCCAACACCAGCTCCTTGTCCTTCCCGCTAGGACCCTGAGGCACTGCGGGTATTGACTTGGGCTTGCTGGCTGCAGAGGTCCCTCCGCCATCCACCTTGCAGGGGACTGTGGCCTGTGGCTTTGGGAGCCCTGGTTCGGAGGGCGCTTCGGGGAGGAGCCTGGGAAAGATAAACAACTTCTGCTCTCCATACTTCACACCTGGACCTTCAGATCCTTGGTGTTGATGAGGAACAGGACCAGGAAGCTGCTGCTGTTTTTCTGGAGAGGGCAGCCCTGGAAATCCCGGGTTGAATAGGAGCGCACTCTGCCAGATCAAACCCGGCTGAGACTGAACCCCACCAGCAGGGACTTCTCTTCTGCTTCCTGGAGGCCCAGCCGCAGGAGGCTCAACTCTACCTCCAGGGAGCTGTTGGTGTAGAAACTGAAGCTGTTCAGCTGGATGTCTGCTCGCTTCTCCCCCTCGGAGGGCCTGGCCTTCACCTTCTGAAAGAACTTTTAGATTCCAGTTGAGCTCTCAGCAACATTTCAATGGAACCCCCAAATCCCATTAAGTGCCCCGAGGACCCCACTCTATAGCTCCCCCAGGACCCCGCTGTGTGGCTCCAGGGTCTTTAGCGCCCCAAAAGTGATTCCAAGAATTAAAAGGACTAAGACCCAACCCGGGGGGATGGGGTGTAGTCCCCCAATTTTTGTATTTTTAGTAGAGATGGGGTTTCACCATGTTGGCTAGGCTGACCTGACCTCAAGTGATCCTCCTGCCTTAGCCTCCCAAAGTGCTGAGATTACAGTCATGAGCCACCACACCCAGCCCTATTGGAGTTTCTTTTTTTTAAAGCTTTCCCTGGATTTATTTGACATGGCCTCTCTTAGGAGAGATGAAGCTGCATTTGGATGTTAGTCCATTCATTAATCCATTAATTTGCTCTTCATCGTTCAGCCCATATCCCGAACACCATTTTATCTGTAAGCTTCTTGGCCCTCCTCCTGTTTCACATAGGAGGACCCATTGTGCCTCTCCATTCTCATCCTCTTGCACTCTCCTCCAGGAGCACTGTCCTCCATTCACCCTGAGCTTCCAGTCTTTTCCTCTAAAAACTGTGCTCCTTGATGTCTCTGTGACTTTGTGCGTGCCGTTCCTGGTGCTTGGAATGCTTTCTCCCGCTGTCTTGATATAATGGTGCTTAGCTTTTAAGTCCCTGCCTAAATGTTACCCACTTTGAGAAGCCTCATTTTAATTCTCCAAGTAGAGTTGGCTGTTAGTGCTTTCCTGTAGTTGACTTTTTTGTTTTCCCTTTATTCTAAACTTACCACCATTTCTTTTCTTTTATGTTTCCCCCAAATAGACTGTTCATGTCCTTGATGGCAGGGTCATGTCTTATTCCAGAAGTTAGCTCAGTGCCTGGCATTTGACTGATGCTTAATACATTTATATTGAATAAATATTTACTTATTGACTGAATAAAGGATCCAGATACTGTCTTTTGAAGAAGAGTCGGGGGAACGTCAGTCATTAGAACTTGAAAGAAAACTAGCTGCCTAGAATTTTGGCTGTAGATTTTTACCTATCTAGAGACAGCGTTCTGCAATGGTATTAGCTTCAGCTCCCTTTTAGTTTTCACTTTTGAAATCACTCGTTGCTGATACTCAAATAAAACAAAACAAAAATCTGATCAATATAACAACTCTAATTCCCAGTAGTTTGTAAGTGATTCCTTCTGGCCTGTGACATCATGGGACTCTGCAGCCAGGACCTCCCCCCCACATATGAGAACAGTTGTTCTTTGCAGATGGGGAAAGAAATGGGTTCCAGATATGAGGTCACCGTGTGAAATATACAACACTGTAAATAAGATTTTCATAGGCAGAGAAACAGAGTCCATCTGCTGCTTGATATAAACTTTATGTGTGCAGGCCTTGCT